CTAACTTCATCAAATGAGATTCTTTTTTTACTATATACAAAATAGCAAGCATAGATGGAAGTTTTGATTTTTTTGAGCTTCCAGAAGCTATAATAAATATTGCCGAGTATTTTTTTTTTCAAATATCTCTTGCTTACTAAAATATCTCCCGTCTTCATTTTTTTTTATCAAAATTTTGATATTATTTAATTTGCAGCATTCATTTTTTTTTTTTACGTTTAAAGGGAGATGTCCCTCGGCATTGAAATTTTTTTTCGATTTTTCATGTATGGGGAAGACAAGTTGACTCTTATTTTTTTAAGGAAATATTGTCGAACTTGGTATGTTAAACATTTTCTTTTTTTAATTCTTACAAGGACACTGAAAGGATTATGTAGTTACATTTTTTTATTAAATTAATTGTTTTAATATTATCCTGAATTAGATATTTTTTTTATTATTACGCAGAAAATCTTTAATATTTTATTTATAGTTTTTTTCAAGAAAACGTTTGACCACCGAGATATCTGATTACGTCTTTTTTTTCATAGATAGGTAAGTGGATTGGATCTTAAATTCAAAATTTTTTTAATCCCTTTGGAATTATTCTTATTTAAGGTAAAACATTTTTTTTTTTTATGACAAATTAAATGTTTTTAGCGATAGTAAGCGATTTTTTTTGAATTTTTATTATATATTTGAAACATTTATATGTCGGTTTTTTTAATTTCATCAAATGGCTATTTTATATTTATAAACAATTTTTTTTTATTACATAGAAAATTATATTAGAATACTCGAGTCAATTTTTTTTTTAATTTTATCTTAAAGTTTGAAAAGTGCAATTTTTTTCTTTTTTTCGAATCATAATTATTATTCTTTAAAGCTACTTCATAATTTTTTTTTAAAATTAAATAAATTACACAGTAAATTAGTATATTAATTTTTTTTTAAATCTAATTGTTACATTGTTGTAATTAGTTTGTATTTTTTTTTTTTAACTTAAATTTTCGGAACTTCGTAATTAGAATTACATAATTTGACTACATTTTATCAAATATCAATAAGTGCTTCCATTTTTTTTTCATATTTTYAGGTATTATTAGATYATTGTATATTTTTTTTTTTTTAATTTATAAAATATCTCTTAATTGGTCTTAATTGAATTTTTTTTTTTCAATTTTTCCTTACTACAATTTTTTTTTGAGGTTTATTTTTTTTTGTCGAATTATTTTCAAAAATTATCTGATGTTCGCCTTTTTTTTGATAATTAAGTTATTTGTACCCAGTCCACGTTATAAGTTTTTTTTGAATTAAATGGGATTTTTATAGGATTTTTTTTTATTTTTTTTTTTTTCATTTGAAATTGTAGTCATTAATCATTTACCATTAATTTTTTTAAATGATATCGAAATTTGATATCCTTAGTTAATTACGGTTTTTTTTGCCCACCCTTACAGAAACCTCTATAATACCGACACTATTTTTTTATAGACAGACCTCTAGATTACGGACAGCTCTRCATTACTTTTTTTTCTAKATTACGRWCASCTCTATACGACCGTCCGTAATATTTTTTTGTCTGTAACACAGACACCGAACAATTTCTACATTACAGTTTTTTTAGCTAAAACATAATCCCTTGATTTTTCAAATATTATTTTTTTTTTTATTTAGGTTTTTATTTTGTTTTTCTGATCGAAATTTCTTTTTTTTTAGCTTTCAAGGATTAAAGAAAACTCCACTTTTGAGCTTTTTTTTTTTGTTTTCTTTGAAATTAAATGATTTCGACCGAAATTTTTTTTTTTTCGAAGTGTGTAGTCCCTCAATGACACACAATGGCTTTTTTTTCCCGCCTCTATCGTTTGTTTCAAACTACAACCTTCTATTTTTTTCCATTTGGCTTGTTCTAATGTTGTGGTAAAGTTTAAGTTTTTTTTCCCCTTGAAAATTATTA